TGAAAATAATAATTACAGATTATGAAAATATTACAAAGATTAGAGAAGCGTAATTTTAATGTTATAGTTTAGATTACTTCTAGGATTAAGTTTATTCTTTTTTTATTTGAATTCGTTTTTTTTCTTTTGTATATATTAAAAATCTAAATTATATTTTTAAGTTTTAACTTGTTACTCTGTTTAGATTATAAATTAATAGTGTATTGTATATCAATAAATATTAATATATAACTGTTGTTTCTGACATCTCAATATTTACCAAATATTTAAATATCTTTTAACTAAAATGGTTTAATAACTTGCTTGAAATGGAATATTGTTGAAAAAAATGTACTTCTCAAACTTAAGAATTTAAAAATAAAGAAATGAAAAAAAAACATATTATTCAAAATTGATAAATAAAATGATTAAAATTATAATGTTTTTAATGATTATTCAAATTCACTTTTGCTTTTGTTTTAAGTCTTCTAAAAACCAACTACCCTTTGATTTAAACAAAGGTTTTAAATCTTTCCCTTAATGATTAATGAACTGTCCTTATAGGATAAGTGTTCCTGATGCTTCTAACCAAGGATTCTAACAGATTACAAGTATAGTACAATAAGGATTAACTAAATAATAATTAATAATAAATACCATTTGGCAATAATGAACTATTCTAAAGTGGAATGTTAAACTAGGCAAGCAAATCTTTATAGCTATTGTTTGATTGAAGTATTTCCTTTGATGTTTGTACATTCCAAAGACGAATAGAGTTATCATCACTACCTGAAGCTAATGTGTTTCCATCAGGAGAGAAATTGACTGAATTAACTGTTGATGAATGCCCATCTAATTTGTCTTTTTATTATCCTGTCTTAACATCCCATAAACGGATAGATTTATCCCCACTACCAGATGCTAATGTAGTACCATCAGGAGAGTAACAAATTGAATACACAGTTGATGAATGACCATCTAATTTGGCTTTTTATTATCCTGTCTTAACATCCCATAAACGGATAGAGTGATCTAAACTACCAGATGCTAATGTAGTACCATTAGGAGAGTAACAAATTGAATTAATATAACTTGAATGACCATCTAATTTGGCTTTTTATTATCCTGTCTTAAAATCCCATAAA